TTCCTCAAGGACTTCCCTGCCTGGAACAATCTCGTACTTACGCTGAAACTGGTGGGCTGCCTTGTGGAGGCACTGCCCCTCCCACAAAAAAAGCAAAGTAGATGCGCAATTCAGGCATCGATCTCGGCTTGGACTTCCTGAAGGACTTCCCCCTGCCTGGAAAAATATCGTACTTACCTGGCTGGAACGGTGTCTGGACCTCCCCGCTGCCTGGGAGCGGCACTGCCCCTCCCACAAACGAAGCAAAGTAGATGGCACAATTCCACGCTTGGGTTGCGAAGCAGCCCCGCTGCCTGGGGGCGGCCTTGTGGAGGCTAGATGGCACAGCCCAGGCGTCGATCTCGGCTTGGACGTCCCCAAAAAGGCTGCACTTCCTCAACTCCCTGCAAGGCTTGCCTGGAAAAATATCGTAGCTACCTGGCTGAAACTGGTGTGGCTGGACCTCCGCACTGCGTGGGGGCGGCCTTGTGGAGGCACGCATGGGCTTGCGAAGCAGCCCAGGCGGTTGGACATCCTGCGCTTCCCTGCAAGGCTGCCTTGCCAAATCAGCCCTCTGCTTGCCCGGTTGGACTTCCCACCTGCCTAGAAAAATCTCGTACTTACCTGGCTGGAACTTCTACAAACGAAGCAAAGTAGATGGCACAATTCCGCATTGGCTTGCGGAGCAGCCCAGGCGTCGATCTCGGCCTGGACTTCCTCAAAGGCTGCCTGGTTGGACTTCCCCCGCCTGAAAAAATCTCGTACTTACCTAACTTGTGTGGCTTCCCGCTGCCCGGGAGCTGCCTTGTCGAGGCACTGCCCCTCCCACAAACAAAGCAAAGTAGATGGCACAATTCCACGCATGGGCTTGCGAAGCAGCCCAGGCGCCAATCTCGGCTTGGACTTCCTCAAAGGCTGCGCTTCCTTAACTCCCTGCAAGGCTGACTCTGCTTGCCTGGTTGGACTTCCCCCTGCCTGGGAAAATTTCGTACTTACCTGGCTGCTACTTGTGTGGCTGGACTTCCCCGCTTCCCGGGGGCTGCCTTGTGGACCCACACACGAAGCAAAGTAGATGGCACAGTTCCACGCATGGGCTTGCAAAGCAGCCCAGGCTTTGAGAGACAGATCTCAGCTTGGACGTTCTCAACTTCCTCAACTCCCTGCAAGGCTGCCTCGCCAAATCAGCCCTCTGCTTGCCTGGTTTGACTTCCCCCTGACTGGAAAAATCTCGTACTTGACAGCCTCCCAAGTCCAGCTTCCGCAAGCCCATGCATGGAATTGCGCTATCTACTTGTCTTCGTTTGTGGACCAGGCAGCGGAGCAGTCCAGCCACACAAGTGCCAGCCAGGTAAGTGGAGTGGCAAAATTTCCCTTTTACTTACCTGGTGGCTTGTGTGGCTGGACTTCCAAGCTGCCTGGAAGCTCCTTGTGGAGGCACTGCCCCTCCCACAAACGAAGGAAAGTCCGGCATGCACTTGCGGCAGCCCAGGCTTCAGCTGGCACCCCCATCAGCTGGCGGACTCCCGTGGCTAGACTTCCTCAACTCTCTGTTCCTTGCCTCAAAATCAGCCCGCTACTTGCCTGGTTGGACTTTCCGCGCCGCCTGGAAAAATCTTCGCTCGGAATGAAATCGTCAAAATTAGCCCCTCTACTTACCTGGCTGGTACTTGTGCGGCTGGACTTCCCCGCTGCCTGGGGACTGCCTTGTGGCCGCCCCTCCCACAGACGACACTTGCGGCAGCCCAGGCTTCGAAAGACATGGAAGGAACCCGAAAGGCTGGGAGGCTGCCTTGTGAAGCGCTGCCTTGTGGAGGCACTGCCGCAAAAAGTAGATGGCACAACTCCAAATGCAACAAACCGTGACTTGGCCACCCGAGGTGATTGCACATTTCTATCTGTCACATCAGCTGGCGTTGACTCGGCATGAAACTGACACTGACAATCTTCAGTCACATCGCAACATACGCAGAGAGCGGCAGTCTTTGGCGAGTGAGTGAGTGAGTGAGTGAGTGAGTGAGTGAGTGAGTGAGTGAGTGAGTGAGTGAGTGAGTGAGTGAGTGAGTGAGTGAGTGAGTGAGTGAGTGAGTGAGTGAGTGAGTGGGTGGGTGAGTGGTGAGTGGGTGAGGGAGGGAGGGAGGGCGTGCGTGAGTGCGTGAGTGCGTGAGTGCGTGAGTGCGTGTGCGTGAGTGCGTGAGTGCGTGAGCGCGTGAGCGCGGGAGTGCGCGAGTGCGCGAGTCCGCGAGTGCGCGAATGCGTGAGTGCGTGAGTGCGTGAGTGCGTGAGTGCGTGAGTGCGTGAGCGCGTGAGCGCGTGAGCGCGTGAGTGCGTGAGTGCGTGAGCGCGTGAGCGCGTGAGCGCGTGAGCGCGTGAGTGAGTGACAGTGAGTGAGTGAGTGAGTGAGTGAGTGAGTGAGTGAGTGAGTGAGTGAGTGAGTGAGTGAGTGAGTGAGTGAGTGAGTGAGTGAGTGAGAGAGTGGGTGGGTGGGTGGGTGAGTGGGTGAGGGAGGGAGGGAGGGCGTGCGTGAGTGCGTGAGTGCGTGAGTGCGTGAGTGCGTGTGCGTGAGTGCGTGAGTGCGTGAGCGCGTGAGCGCGGGAGTGCGCGAGTGCGCGAGTCCGCGAGTGCGCGAATGCGTGAGTGCGTGAGTGCGTGAGTGCGTGAGTGCGTGAGTGCGTGAGCGCGTGAGCGCGTGAGCGCGTGAGTGCGTGAGTGCGTGAGCGCGTGAGCGCGTGAGCGCGTGAGCGCGTGAGTGAGTGACAGTGAGTGAGTGAGTGCGTGAGTGCGTGAGTGCGCGAGCGCGTGAGCGCGTGAGCGCGTGGGTGCGTGAGTGCGTGAGTGCGTGAGTGCGTGAGTGCGTGAGTGCGTGAGTGCGTGAGCGCGTGATGAGCGCGTGAGCGCGTGAGCGCGTGAGCGCGTGAGCGCGTGAGTGCGTGAGTGCCTGAGTGCCTGAGTGCGTGAGTGCGTGAGTGCGTGAGTGCGTGAGTGCGTGAGTGCGTGAGTGCGTGAGTGCGTGAGTGCGTGAGTGCGTGAGTGAGTGAGTGAGTGAGTGAGTGAGTGAGTGAGTGAGTGAGTGAGTGAGTGAGTGAGTGAGTGAGTGAGTGAGTGAGTGAGTGAGTCAATGAATGAGTGAGTGAGTGAATGAGTGAGTGAGTGAGTGAGTGAGTGAGCTGTGAGTGAGTGAGTGAGTGAGTGAGTGAGTGAGTGAGTGAGTGAGTGAGTGAGTGAGTGAGTGAGTGAGTGAGTGAGTGAGCGAGCCAGTGAGCGAGCGTGAGTGGACGCACTGAATTGTGCCATAAATTTGGTAACCTGTGCATCTTACGCATCCCGTTTGACCCCAATTATCTGGCGCCGGCGCGCGGAGTGTAAAAACCTTCGTTGAAAAGAAGTAAATGGCACAGACGGTTTTTTTGAGCCATCTATCTGCCGGGTAGTGTAGATGAAGATCATCGTGGGGGCCGCGGCCACGCAAAGGCCGCCCCCCCGCGCCCCCCGAAACGCCCAAGCGCAGTGGCAGGGCGCGCCCAAAAGTACCAAAAATGGAGCGCAAAGGCGCGCGCGGAGGATGCCGGAACGGCAGTTTCGGAACCCGTTACGAAGACTAGCGCAGGCACGGCCGGGCCGCGGGCACGCACAGGGCCAAACCAGCCCAGGCACGGCCGGGCCGCGGCCACGCAAAGGCGCAGTGGCAGGGCGGTGGAGCTGCATTCTGATAATGCCATGGGTGCGCCCAAAAGTACCAAAAATGGAGCGCAAAGGCGCGCGCGGAAGGTGCCGGAACGGCAGTTTCGGAACACGTTACGAAGACTAGCAGGGAGGCGACAAGGCCAAACCAGCCCAGAGCCGCGGCCACGCAAACGCCCCCCCCGCACCCCCCGAAACGCCCAAGCCTAGTGGCAGGAAATGGAGAGGGCGCCGGAAGCGAAATGGAGGGAAAAGGCGGCCACGCAAACACCCAAGCGCAGTGGCAGGGCGCGCCGAAAAGTACAAAAAATGGAGCAAAAAGGCGCGCGCGGAGGGTGCCGGAACGGCAGTTTCGGAACCCGTTACGAAGACTAGCAGGGGCCCAGGAGCGACAGGGCCAAACCAGCCCAGGCACGCACGCAAAGGCGCCCCCCCCCCGCCCGCGAGAAGACTAGCAGCGGCCCAGGAGCGACAGGGCCAAACCAGCCTAGGCACGGCCGGGCCGCGGCCACGCAAAGGCGCCCCCCCCGCGCGAAGACCCCCGCGCCTCCCGAAACGCCCAAGCGCAACAGCAGGGCGCGCCCAAAAGTACCAAAAAGACGCGCAGGGTGCCGGAACGGCAATTTAAGACTAGCAGCGGCCCAGGAGCGACAGGGCCAAACCAGCCCAGGCACGGCCGGGCCGCGGCCACGCAAAGGCCCCCCCCGCGCCCCCCGAAACGCCCAAGCGCAGTGGCAGGGCGCGCCCAAAAGTACCAAAAACGGAGCGCAAAGGCGCGCGCGGAGGGTGCCGGAACGGCAGTTTCGGAACCCGTTACGAAGACTAGCAGGGGCCCAGGAGCGACAGGGCCAAACCAGCCCGGCACGGCCGGGCCGCCGCCACGCAAAGCGTCACGGCGGGGACCTTGCGAACTTGCTGCCCTGCCACGAACCCGCCACGCAATTGAAGCCTTGCGAAGCCTGCACGTTGCCGCGCAGGTGCGCCGAACCCGCGCCAAGACCATTCCAAGCCCACACCACACCCGCGCCAAGACCGCGCCAGATAGGTGTCAAAGCAGAGGTGCTTGACATCGACACGGGCCCACGCAGAGGGTCACTTTTTTTGGCGATTTCTATTCCACGTTTTCTCGAACGCGTTCTTCGCTATCTTTCCGCGAGGGCCGTCCTTTTTTCTGTAACTAAGTGTCGTTTCGCACGCGCTATCTGATCTTCTGAAAATATCTATCTGCCCATACCAAGTATTAGTTGTTGATGCTTGGAGATGCCATAGATCAAGAACACCGAAACTGAAAGCAACTCCCACAGGCATGATGCTTCGAAGATCTTTCCCTCTAAGACATCGGCGCTCTTGCCCATCCATGGGGGGTGATCTTCTGAATGGTCCGCGCCATCTTCTGGGGGCATCTCCAAGAAGTGCACCTGAGCGTTGCTGTAAATTATTGCGCGGGCGACGAGGGCAGCGTCCACGAGTCGACATAGCAAACGCCTACGCGGCGCTTACGCAGATGGAAGCGCGAGCCTGCCAAAGTAGAGAATTGCGACGCTCACGCGGGCCAAGTGTTATTCCCTAAAGCGAAGCCTTTGGCGGCCTTCCGCGAGGTAGGAGAAAAACACCTGTTCAAGCCCATATTTCCTCAGGAAAGCTGCATTCAATTTCAATCGCAGGGAGTCAAATGGAGTTCGACTGCTGCTCACCTGAGCTCGCGGATTCCGGTGTGAGACCTTGTCAAGAGAGTACAGGCGCGATACTGACTTCCCACGGGTTCGCACAAGGAACTGCAACTCTGCCCTCGGGGCCCCACAGATTCTGGGCCCTGGACGCTTCCACTTTGGGTGGCCCCAAACTCTGGGCTCCGGCTCATTTCGAGACAAGAACACGTGTGCTTGTTGTGTTTGCGACCGTGGCGCTGTGGCCCATCGCCAGTGTGGGCAGAACATGTACGTTAAGTTAACGCCCGCAGCCCGGACAACCAACGTGGCTTTTGAAGAGCATTGGCAAAGAATGAGCACGAAACCGCTGTATTTACAAAGACCGCGAAGGCGAATAATTTCAACCCAATTCAGAGAAATAGATGAGGCGTAGTCCATGTTTGACTATTTGTTTGTGCCACACAGAACGGGCCAGTGGATTCTTGGACCCCATTCTCTGCTTTCAACTGCCCATCCTGTACAGTTGTTGTTTCCGCCTGGGCACCATGCGCTCAATTCCGCTGAAGGAGAAAAAAATGAGTTGCTGCTGCAGCTGGTCTTCGTAGCTAGTGTCGTCCAGCAAGTTGGCCTGCCGTCCAAGGAGTCTACGTGCTTCAGCATGGCAGGACACAAGCCGACATCTGAATCTCATGTCATTCGCTTTCTGCAGGCATGGCTCTGCTTCTGCAGGTCTGGACCCTGCCTCTTGGCGCATAAGTTTTTCGTTCCACATCACTGTTTCCTCCGCTGCCCTCTCCTCTGCCGTCCCTGAGTGGGCATGCGGGATGCTCACAAGGCTCCCTCCAATGTGAACCGCTTCAGCCCTTCTGC